AAATTGTTCGAAAATTTAACGAGGGGATATCTGGAACGTAGCCAACCCGGTGAAATCGATCGGCCGGTAGAGCACATAAGCTACGTCTTTTTATTTATTTACGCTACGTGTACGTGTACACCATATAGACTGCCCTGCGCGAGCTCCATGGCCGATAAATTGCAGCATTTTACGTGCGTCCACCTACTTGACGGCGCATCGACTCCGTCTGCAGTCGTCTTGAATTTTTCTACGTTCCTTGCCTTCCGTTTATCGATAACGTGGATATCAAGGAACGAAGGATATCTCTAATGACGGTCTCTCTCTCTCTATTTTTACACGATGCTCTTGGCGCCATCGTTTATAAATCTAACGTCTAGAGGAATACTCTTTCTCTCTCTCTCCTCTTCTTAGTAAACATAATAAAAGTTCCTCGTAAATTCAGTATCCGAGATCGATACGATATCGGTTTATACGAGCTCATCAAGCTCGAAATTGTCGATCCGTTACTTGCAATCTCTTTTACAGACTATCTTAGACTTATCACAAAACTTTTAATTAATTTGAAATTAATTTTTGTTTAGAGAAAATTTGATAGAAAGTGATTGTAAATTATAAGTTTTCGAATTTCGACTTTTATATCTTGGTAATTAAAAATTGTATTTCTGTGTCTTTTTATAAATGTAGATAAAAACAATTCATATTTTAATTGAGAAATTAAAATTTATTATTAATTTAAATTTGATGTAAATTTTTTTTAGGAATTATTAATGAAAGTTCGCAATTAATATAGTGAGAGTTTATAACGTTAAAAATTAATTATTGTAATTAATTAATACTTTTCAATAAAAATTTGCTCATGTTTACGTTATCCATAGTCAAAGGAGCACGTCATCATCTATATATACGTAGGATATTGAAATATCTTCTTTCCTCCTTTTTCGACAAAATAGTTTTGTCATGTAACCGAGCTTATCGATTTCTTTCGCAAGCGTTGGCGGATTCATTGCAATTTTGAATGCGTGGTAAAGCCTCTTTCTCTCTTATCGTAACTTACTTAAATAAATTATTCGCTATATATCGTAATATTTTATGTAGCGATCAATGATATTATGTATGTCTTTACAGCGGTAGAAATATTTATACTTTATACCAGTATACAGTATATAACAGGTTGTACAACAATATTGACGATGTATGAAAGTCGTTAATCGTACGTCCTACTTTACCTCTAGTTCTTTTTGGAACACGTTATGTTACCTCAAAACCAGCGTGAAACGGTTACAAGCTCTGATAACATACATAAAATATGAATCAAAGTGGAAGAGTCAATACGCATATTACAAGAATAGGATATATAAAAATATATATTGTATAAAACAAAGTAAAATATATATATGCACACATAGAATAATCACACAGAAATTTATCTGCAAAAACTGAATATATATTGCAATTTTTTATTGCAGCTTTAATTTTTATGGTTACGTGATAATTATATCTTGAATTATATTCTGTTGATTCGGAAAAGATCGAAATTTCATCTAAAATTATACAGGAATTTGTTTTCTTCCGCACGAATGCATTGAAATTATCAGTAATTTCGCTTTTTGGTTAATTAAACAAATTGAATTATTGTAGGAATATAACATATGTTTTCTTTATCGTTGACAAGAAAGAGAATAGTTCATTATACATACATAGTATGTAATAAACGATTTAAGGCCATACAAAATCCTGAAATTATCTCTAAAAGAAAGTATCTTTGAAAGAGAAATATTAAGTTATTTTTTTAAATTTTCATAATACATTCGTCAAAATTTTTTGTTTTTTATTTCTCTTGGTATTGATTGTTTTGAAATAACATTTATTTTATTCGATGTTATTCATGAAAGAAGAGAAGTGACTATTTCTAGATATCCTATAAACAATAAAATTCATTTTTCAATAAAAATTAGATATGTTTATCTAATCTAATATATTTATGGAAAATGATCCGGCCAAGGAGAGGATCCCTATAAAATATTCTTCTAGGGGGACATGACAACGATATCAGTCATTATCGTAGAATATTAAATGAGTTATTAAGGTGGTATCCAGGGAATTGTTCAGCTCGCAGCGAAGGTGTGTGCCTCCCGTACTCCTCGAGGAAACCATCACCCCTGCCTAGTAATTTCGCGTGTGCAACCGTTTATCAAGTCAATTTGCCGTAACGGTCGTTAGGAGCACGACAGGTTTGATAAGGACTTAAATCGATGATACGGGAGTTCGTTGGCTCGCAGGGGGCGACCAACAGGCTTCTTATTATGGTCTTTAGCGCGCGATAACCCTGAACTTTAAAGCTCGCCTGCCGGTTAACACGGAAACGTGAGCTCGGTTCTCGGTTCGCTTCACCACGTGATCTTCATGCGGCCGCGAAAGAGCCGGTTAAAAATAATCCGAAAAGGTGCATAGGAGAAGATCGTGATTCTCCGGGTGCATCGCACCCGAATTTACGCGAGATCGACTCGCGGGATCATCGTCTCCTCTCTTGAACGCTTCTTTTCTTCCCTTTTCTCTTCTCTCTTCCTCCGCTTGTGTTTGATCGATGTTTCCTATTATTGTACTCTGTTTTCTTGATATTATAGTCGGTTTGCTCATTCGCTTCTCTCTCGTTACTTTATCCTTCTCTTGTATAACCACTTCTCTCGCTTCTTCTCTACATCATTCTGTCGAGAGGCGCATTTACTGTCTATTTTCGCACGGTGACTATGTATACGGGATTCGTTCTCATGAGATCAACGCGTCAGGAATATCATGCGGTGAAAGTCTTATTTTTCTCTTTTTCTTCCTCACCTCTTTCCTTTTGCTCTTTGCATTTAATTTACGCCGACGCATACCTCCTCGTGCCTTCCTTTTAAACGAACCTATAAAGGAAAATTCACGAGAGGGTTGCTACGTGGATTACAAGTACAAAGTAGTTGTAAAGTAGACTGATAGTGGAGAAATTACACACAGGCTCAACTCTGACGTGTCTCCAGCAAATCATTCTTCTTTGAGCAATTTCTAAAGAAATGCCGATGATATGCTGACCTAGCAGAACATGTAAAGTAGAAAATTCTCTGAAAAACTAACGTCTATCTCTTAGCATGAATATTCTGATATCATGATAAAGTGAAAAAAATGATGTGTATTATTTATTGAATTTTTTATGTAGCACAGATAAGTAAGAACTTTTTAATTCTTCATCATTATATGTCAAATAGAAAATATATAAAATTTAATATGAATTAAATAGATCAGATGTCAATATCAAAATTATCTTTAACTAAGTATTCATATTTTACCGTTGATTTTAGATATACTTTTAATTATTGAAATTTAAGACTTTGACTATATCTTTTTACATCTTTCATCACTTTATCTTTCTCAGAAATCTTATATATCTCTGACAATGAATATCTTATTCTTTTATGTAAGATAGATGAGGAATCTCAAATGAATATAAAACAGATAAGATATCTCGCCATAAAATATGGATATCGATAATCGCTTACAGGATGAATATTATCATTCTTTGGAGATCATTCGTTATTTGCATTTAAATAAATTGAAAATTTTTGCAGAAGGCTAAAGAAATATGTATAGAAAGAGAAAGAAATAAAAAATAATAATTATCTTAAAATACGAATATAGATTAATGTTTTATTTGCACGCGTGACTGTACACATCACATATTAATTATTTGAAGTGTATTATACATAAATATATACATGCATGCCTTTTTTGTCTACGCGGATTAATCTAACTTGTCGATGATTAATCAAAATATATAAATGTCAATCGAACTGTCATTGTGAATATCCTTTCGACATGGGGATAATAAGGACTGCCAGAGTGCTAATGGATTCGTGGTTTACAATCCTGTATACGGACGCTTATCGATCTCGTGTTGCGCGCACGCATCGCGTGCTTACATGCATACGATAATTTAGTTTAGCCTTAGTCATTGTTTACAGTGATTAAAGGTGTAGCTGCGCAACCCGTTATTTTACATCCGATGCGACGCAGAGTTAAATATTTTGCGCGAGAGATAAATTTTAGATGTTTCGATTTTCACAGTCCGGGGTTACATGACCTGCATTTTATCGTTCACTGAACACATAATGAAATGCTTTATGGTCAAAATTTTTATTTTATTTTATTTATCTTTTTTCAGATTTGGATGATATCTGTTTTTTATGCGTGAAGCCATTTAACAATATTGAATTTTAATTACTCTGCGTAACATTATTCCGATACACGTGCCAAATACATTCCGCGTTTCATTTAATTGTGGAATTGCAAATTATTGAGATTGAAATTATTTCTGTTTAACTAATAGGTTAACAAATCATTTACTTACTGCACAAATTACTTTAATCTCTACAATTTAATAAACAGCTTGTCTTTTAAACAACGATGGTAATTGATACTACTAGTCGTTTAGTAAGGAATTTAATCATCATTGGCGCGTTTGTTTGCGAGAATTCGCGTAATTTTAAGGCGTAACTTTTCGTACTTCTCTGTTGAATGAGGCTAATATGACATTATAGTGATTGTTAATAATATCGTCAGAAAGTACAATATTTTGATATAGTCGTGCCGGGCATAAAGTCGAGATTTAACTCTTGCCATAAACGTTACTTCACATTTATACTGACAGCTATCGGCTAGATTTTGCGCGTGTCGCATATCGGAAATAAAGCGATATTGCAGTTTAATGAAAATATTTACAAAGATATGAAATACTTGCTCGAGTTATACGAGTTTATATGAACATTATTTCCATTGTACAATTTTGATTGCGTTTCACTTACCGACTGGAGAATTAACGGTGAAAATGCAGCTATGATTTTTCGGAGAGAATTGCAAGCGCAATAAAAAACAATAAAAAATGCAGAAATTTTTATCTCTACATTTTTAATGAGCTTGTATACAAAAAAAGAAAACTATTTAACATGAATAGATATCTCATTCGTGCGTTTCATTGTCTGTTTCAGGTGGTGTTAGTTTTCATTCTCAGTATAGCATCGCTTATAATATACTTCATCGATGCCTCCAGGTGAGTAACAAGAATACCAGATGCATGGCTTTTAAAAGTTTCTCGAAAACATTTACAAAATATTTGATTTTTTTGTGCGATATTGGAGATGTTATGCAGAAAAGTAACACTTGATAATTTCTTCTCGCGGTTTAATTCAATTTACGGAACGATAATTGCTAATTTAATCGCCCTCTTAGTGTTGCTTTTTTTAAGACCGAGACCTTCGCATAAGAGATGCTGACCTAACATCCGCAATCTCATGCTTTCATGTTACAGCGAAGAGGTGGAGCGTTGCCAGAAGTGGAGCAACAACATTACTCAGCAGATAGACTTAGCTTTCAATATATTTTTTATGGTCTACTTTTTTATACGCGTAAGTAAGATCATCCATTTCATCGCGTTTTCGTTTATTTCTCTAATACTAACATTAAAACGATCATAAATAGAATGTCAACAATGCAAACATTTTATGTAACCATTAAATTAACAATATTTATTTTTTGTTCTTTGTTTTTTAAATATTTTTTTTAATACTATAAAAATATAAAAGATTAAAAGAGAAAGTTTTTACTAAAAAATTTAGAACAGTCAAAATATTTCAAGTTTGTAAAAATAAACGTGCTTTGTACAATGTAAATCATTTTTTTTGTTTGTATCCTGTGAAAATCTTTCAAAATGGCCTTCTGATAAAAAATAATATTTGTTTAACTAATGGCTCAGATAAATCACACATGTAAACTTTCTCGTTCATACGATTCGCGCAGTTTATCGCCGCCAGTGACAAGCTGTGGTTCATGCTGGAGATGTATTCGTTCGTGGACTACTTTACGATACCACCGTCCTTTGTGTCGATATATCTCGATCGGACGTGGATCGGACTGAGGTTCCTCCGAGCCCTACGACTGATGACGGTCCCTGACATCCTCCAGTACCTCAACATTCTAAAGACATCGAGTTCTATTCGTCTCGCCCAACTCGTATCCATCTTCATCTCCGTCTGGTTGACCGCTGCTGGTATCATTCATTTGGTGAGATAAACCTTTTTTTGCGCATTATTTAAGTAACAGTTATAAATATTGCGCCAATTTTCGTGAATCTTGATTCATAATCACAGATATAATTATTATTGAAACAGCGTCATATATCTTAAAACATATTATAATTAAATATTTACTATGTAGACTTTTTCTAGATTAGCTCTTTTATATAATTTATAACTATTTATGTGTGTTTAAACATAGTTTAAGTATACATCTATCTTGTGACAGATGCATAGGGTGTCATAAGAAATGAGAGAAACAATAATTTTTTAACAGGTTTGAAGATATAACAACTGAATTAATTGAAAAAGTTTTGTTAATTAAAACTCAAAATAAATTAGCTTTAAGGAATATATAATAATATATTTCTCATAATTAATAACTGGATATACTCTAATATATAATGTAATTACCAAGATATTTATTATGGCAACTTGTAAAACAACGATATCTTTTATCATTTCCAATCTTTTTTGTGATATAATCTCTATGATTTAAAAAAAAAAAAAATCTCTCGTAAAATCTTTAATCTTATATTATCATATTTGATAATATACTTTTTTCACGAGTCTCACATTTCCCAAGACACCTTATGTGCAGAAATACAGAGAACTACATTCCTCGGATGTTCCACATTTATACGCTATTGTGCAGTAGTAAAAGCTTATGGTTATTATTATTCGCCAATTTAAACCACAATTTTACTACTGACGCCGGCGGGAGATGAACCTGAACATAATAACATCGTGTCCGCAGCTTGAAAATTCAGGGGACCCTTTCGAGTTCTCGAACCCGCAACAGCTTTCGTACTGGACCTGTGTGTACTTTCTGATCGTGACGATGTCCACGGTAGGATATGGCGACGTTTACTGCCAGACGGTTCTCGGCCGCACATTCCTAGTATTTTTTCTACTCGTCGGTTTGGTAAGTTATCCTTACGTATTCTTCCACGTCTATAATCGAGCCACTTTAACATTTATTGTTGTTTAAAAGAACCTTCTATAGCCCCGCGCACAATATATCCTTCGAAAATCGCGCTATTATCAAAAACCGTGTTTCTATTTTATGTCAACGAATAATTCTTTCATCCTGATCGGGTTTCTCTATCGATACATGCAGTGGCATTTTTATGAGAACATGTCGAAACCCGTAATTAAATTTTCTGCTATTGTTCCCTTTAATGGTAATAAAAATTATAATTTACGAAATACAGAATATATTGAAATAAGTAAATAAAACATCTATTCTCATAAAAATGTTGTTTACTGTATTCTTCTATTGTGTTCTCTTCACTTTTTACGTGAGCGTACGAGCTTTGCGAAACACACAAAAAGATTCTATTTTTTAAATCGATTGATTTTCTCAAGTACATAATATATACGAAAAAGAGCTCAATAAAACTCTATGAAACTTCAAAATTTTTATAATTGTATCGTCGCAAGATATTAAGCCTTTATTTCTCGCTTTCTATTAATTTCTCATTTATCAGAAAAATTGAGTTTTTGCCTCTTATTTATCTTTTCGCCAAATCGCTATCGCGATGTATTTTTTTTCGTATTTCGAGAAATGTCAAAGTATGATCGCGGATTGTTATTCGGCGCTTCGCATAGCTCGTTTCGCCAAATCGGACCCGCCAGCTCGCCGGTTTTGCCAAGGCTCGTACATCAGAACGGAACCATTGGCGAGACAAGCGACAGCCTCAGATTTACGTGTCCCTCGAGCCGCGAGACGGTGAATATTTCGAGTGTAAAGTGTTCTCCGGCCGTTGATCTTCCTGTGTCCCAAAAGGCGCCGAGAAATGACCCACGGTGGCATAGCTAGCATTTTTCTTCGCGGAATTTCTCTCTTTATAGCACTCTAAATGATATCTTGTGATATTTTTTAAAGAGTTCAACATTGATAGATGTTTTTTAATACACTTTATGAATTCTACAGAAAAAGCTATTAAAGCTAGAGCTTTAATTTTGATTATTGATAATGTATGTGTTCTTATAATTCATAAAATATTAATGTTTTAAAGAAAATTTTTCAAAACACTGAGCAAATCGATGATATTTATGTATAGGCTTTATTTTAATAATAATGTAACTTTGTTGATCTTTTTTCAAGATGGTATTTGAAAAACAAATATGTTATCAGAATAGATATGTTTATTTATTTTGTCGTAACTTTACCCCACTTCTTGAACTTTCTAGCATCATAACTCGAGACAAACGTAATTGTTTCACGATTGAAATAACGCTTTTGTTTAATGTCACGCGAAAGTGGCTTTTTGGGGCAAAAATGAACGGCGGAGGACGGTGCTGCTCGTTATATTGAATCGATCGATTCGTTTGAACGTCGATGCGCGCATTATTATGAGCATGCTTGTATCCTATTATGCGTACTTCGTATGCGGCCTATCGATCGTTCACGTAAACCTTATGTACACGCTCGACTTGCTCGGGATAACAGCCTGCTCTTGGAGTTTCCTCAGAGATGCGTCGTATTTTTCTCTCGTTTAAATGCGAGCATCGTCGTTCAAACGTCGGAAACGCGTTTAAGCTAACGTTTATAGCTCATCATGGAATATTCATAGATAACATCGATTATCGAGTTGGAGAGAGCATAGCCCGAAAATACAGTACATTCGACATACGTGAACCTCTTTCTTTTTATAAGAGATGTAATATTTCATTATTTATATATATTAAAAATAGTAAAGTGCATTTATATTTTGTTTTGTATTTAAAAATTTTTAATTTAAAATGTAATATATGTAGTTATATATACTTTAATTTAATCGACCATTTAATTAGACACGTCTCATCGAAGTTCCGGAAAAGTTGCCGTAAAAAATTATCGTGAATTAAGTCATTGCGATTTCACGATGATAAACATAAAAAGACTCCCTTTATCAGGCAGTTATCAGGCAGTTTTACTCGTGTTCTTGTATATCGTTTTAAAATGTGCTCCCTCATTTTTCTGTAACTTGTATATATCTGGAAAATAGGTCGGAAAATATTTCCGACCTATTTACTATGCGAAGCAATTCGCGATAATTTGACTCAATAGCACTCGAATTTTAGCCACGATAATAAAAGAGACGAGAAGACAAAGATATTAACTGCCTCTATATGTCTTACATCACGTATCGGAACCGTCGTGATGTTTCAGATCGTTATAATGAGAGAAAAGTTGTCTTGCAATTTTATCACACAAAATAATTTTATTAGTCGTACAAAAATATCTCAAAGATAGATAATTTTTAATATACAAATAATCTAATAATATAACATTTTTTTTTTAAGAAAATAAGATTAGATTTAATTCAGTTCAAAATTTTATTTTATTATTAAAAAAACTTGATATTATTGTAGAGTAAAATATAACGAAATTATAAAATGTAATGTGTGTGTATGTGTGTATCTGTGTGCGTGCGTGTGTGTGTCTATGTGTGATGTGAATCAATTCAATAACTATTTATATCAATTATAATTAAAACAACGATTATATTTAATAATCCATACTTTTTTTTCTGGCAACTTGTATATAAGTATAAAAAAAGCTTAAAACAACAAAATCCTTTTATCACATATATTAAATATAATTTTGTGACTCTATAATTTGATTTCCAATAATTTACTTAAAGAAAAACTTTCTGAAGTACCTTATATATGATCAAAGAAAGAACCATTAGGAGCAAAATCTTGACATAAAACTCACGACGGATTTCGATAACGACTTTATGTGACTTTCGTACCTACACGTCATACTATATAATTGAAGAAGAAAAGGATTGTACTTTCGTGAAGAGTAGAAGCTTTATCATAATGTACAGAGACTACCTCAAATATCTTTGAAATAACAGAAATGTATATAGAATTATTTCAAACAATTATTTATTCTTGATCGCGTATTATGAAACTAGCCCGAAACTTGAACATGATCTGTTTAATTCAACGATTGCAAAAAAAAATTCATCTTAGAGAATGATTATTTCTACACTTTATAATATTAACCCAGATATTTATGAAAGACGGAGAGATTTCAAATTTTACTTGAAAATTTAACAGGTTAATTTCAATCGACGTACGATTAGCAAATAGATGCAATTTAATTAAAAAACGCAGCTCATTATGAAGCATTTAGCGTAGCAATATTTCACTCCACATCGTGTTTTTTCTCGAATTAATTTGCTATAATCGCGAGCGCTTCTGATTTCGATATTACGCGAAATGGTGAAAGAAGTAATTGCGGTCATTATGTATTTGTACGACATTGTAGCTATTGAAGGCATATTTTACTCTTCCTCTGTCTCTTTTTCTCTCTCTTTCCATCTTTCTCTCTTTGTCTATCTATCTCTCTATCTCTTTATCTATCTATTTTACAGCTTAAATTGGTTCTACGAGTTTTGCTACAGCCACTGTCTATCTTTTTTCTTCGATTTAAGAATCACTTGTAGCTAATAATGCGGCGAATCGATTAATTCAATTATAATCGATTCAGCTTGTTATGCGAATGCTGCGATATATATATGCTGCGAACTTATTTTTTCACGATGCTAATGAGTATCGACAGGACTTTTACTAAAAAAGAGCCTCGAAACTTAAGCGATGGAACTTTGTAAATCTCGTTCCATACTACTGGATCTCAAGAGAATATATATGAACAAATTTATATCTATTATAAAAGAAGAGAGAGTTATTTTTAGAAAGACGCATAAATATTTTTATTTCTATTCATGAATATTTACATAATTGATTTAAAAGTTAGATAATTCTATAGTTTTGTTATTGAAAACTTAAAGAAATTCCAACTAATTATAAGTGTTGCTCTCTACGGACGACAAAAAATGAAACTTTTTACAATTTGTGCAATTTTTGGAATCGAGATTACATAATTTTTTTGACACTTTTAATTAGACGAGTGTAACATAAAATTTGAAAAAAATATGAAAAGTGAAAGATAAAAAAATTTACACGGTCTCGACTCGGTGATTCAGCAATCCACAGCCAGAGATTCGAGGTTCTCAATATTATATAAATTTTTCTGTATCAACTTTATCATATTTCTCTCTTAAAGGGCGTAAGGCCCGACGGCTTCGATAAGATATGGTGTCTGTACGCGCTTGATTCTTGACTATTCATTCTGTCTGTATGTGTATTTTCTGCGATGCTGATACGCTGCTCACATATGTTACGACGTAAGATATTGTTCTGGCCGCTTGAACTTTATTTTTCGAATTGCGTCGGCCGCAGTGATACGCGTACGGCACTTTCAGTAGTAAATTCCGAGCACGACGATACCAACGAGATGATTGCGAAACTTACAAGCCGAAGTAATATTCGTCCGCTTCGCATTACTAGAACATTCACTTCCCTTTTGCTCCCCTATAATCGATAAAGAGCAAAAGCTATAAGTAATATAGTTTTATCGGATTACGGAACAAGATATACCACTTTACTTTTTTTATCGATCTTAAATGGCACGTTGTAAACTTTGTTAGAAAACAATCCTCAGAAAATGGGGGACCCGCACAATTAACTTTGGACTTTTCTTCAAATTTGCAGTTCTAGATTATTAGAAATAGAAAAATTGAATTGAATTGTCTTGAACTGATTGAACACGGACGAAGTAAATAGAAAGTTAAATGAAGTTTAAAAATGATTATATTGACTTTTGTAATTTTTAGTATAAAAAATTTAATTTTTTAAAAATTATTTATCATTATTTAACACGTATCTATCTATTATCTTTGTATTAATTTTTGAGCAAGTCATTAACACTTCTCGAATACTATAAATTAATTTTTTTATGTCTGCATTTTATCAAATTTCTCGATAAATTATTTACGTATATCTACACAAGTTTGTGATTCTACATCCGGTTTGCAAATTATTCTACATTTCCATAGACTATCTATTAAAGTTTGCCCGGGAATGTTGGAATGAACGTATAGTGTATCCTATCCATTATACTTTCGTGTATTGCACCAAGAGATTTGTAACCGAATCGTTAGAAAATCTTTCAACTAGTCACGTTAAGTCGGGTGGGAATGAAAAATTATGTTCTCGTAACATTTAAAATGGGAGGTTCTTTTGGAACACTCTCAAAGCGCTTTGGCACTCATTTGAAAGTATGATATCACGTGTCTCGGTATAACATGTGGCAGACGAAGAACCACTTTTAACCGAATTCAGTATACATATTTCGCAGACACGAGCGGTAATAAACCTTGAAATTAGACGAAGTCGCGCGCGCGTGCGTGCGATCATAAATTAGACGAATTCAGACGAGCTTAAAAGCTCGCTAGACTCTTGACTCACCGAGCTCAGTATCCAAAAGTGAGACAGAGATGAAGTTGCACATTGTCTCCGATTGCATAAAGGAGGAAAAAGAAAGGATACTGCATTATTTCAGAATTATACACAAAGAAAAGGAAATTATATTTTCTGACGTAATTAATTATATATATATATATATATATTTGCGCGTTTCATATTTATTAGCTCTTCAGAATGAATCAATACATTTTATAAATTTTTAGGTATTTTATAATGTTTATTTTATAATGCATATTGATGCTCTTATCATAACAAAGAAATACTTTTTAATTAAAACAATTAGTGTGTTTATTGGCATTAAATTATTTGTACTAATTTTATTGAATTTCTTGTTATATACAAATTTTATGCGTGATGCATTTCAATTATACGTATAACAGATAATAACTTTATGACTAGTACATGAATATATTAATTTATGCTCAATTTATGATAATTTTATGATTACAAAGATATATCATGCAATAATGTATTCTCAAATATCTATACAGATTTTTGCTTATAAAATTCCGAATTTGCAGGTTTATTTAATATCTATTTATATTATTTGTATTGTAGTGGTGCTCACCCACAAATATTCGTGAAAAGCCATTCGGTTACAAACTCTAGGTTTGCAAATAGATTTGTTTTATTTACGAACTCTGAAATTACAAATTAAAATTTTATTTACAAATATTGTAATCTCTCTTTCTCTTCCAGAATAATCATCAATTAAAATTCTGCATACAAATTACAAATTAAAATTTTATTTACAAATATTGTAATCTCTCTTTCTCTTCCAGAATAATCATCCAAAAATATATATTTGCGATATTATCTATTACAGTTCCTGAGATTGTAAGTTAATATCCTATTTACTAAACTTCAGAATACGCGATTCTTATTAACTACTGCTGAAGTTCTGAGTTCTAGGTACGCGAATTCTCACTTCGCCACTTTGTATTTATTCGGTGAAGTGATCGCGGTCATACAATTCGCTGCTTCGCCATGCTATAATACTTTACAGGACATCTACTGTACTTGGCTGTTCCTTGAGAACGTACATTATGTCGAGCGCAAAGTGTCAACACTTTTTTTCTCAACATTCTGTCTCTTACAATAATTTCATTGATCTCGCAGTGTCTTTAGTTGCCTATATAACTATCTATTGCGATGAAAATGCCTAGTCGCGAATCATTTTCAGCGCCCATATATTTAATGATAACGTGGCATAAGACAACTTTGTCGATCGTTCATAATAGATCATATCTTTCTCATAGTATCCGGCATTATAGACAATTTACATAATTGCGCTTTATTCACTTTACATATGCACGAAGAAAAATCGATTTGCAAAATTTCCTTTCCTCTTCCGTTTACCAAAGGAATTGCTTGCATCTTTTTCACCTCTGCTTCTTAATTGTTAATTATAAGTTATATTCACTTGTATCACTCGATATATGTTGTATAGCTTTTATTCTATGCATAAACAGCAGAATTATATAAAATTATATTGAACTTGTCGTTATCTTATATTTTTTTGTAAATAAAATAACTTCAAAATAAATTAAACTCAATTAAACATTTACACAACAAGCGCGTTTTAATAGAATAAATACAATAAGATAATAAAAACATTGATTAGTTATACAAAACATATTCACGAAATTATATCGTTATTAAATCGTCATTATAAAAATACGAAATTTCTTTATTCATTGCCAATTAAAAATTTATTGATTTTAATATTTGAAAATATATATCTCTGCTGTTTCTCTCTTTTATATATTTATCATTTTTTCCTTGCCTACTGTACTGCTTCTACTTATCTCACATGTTTAAATATCATTATACTGCATACATAAACTTAAAACATACACATCGGATGATTCTTTACGGTTGCAACAAAATCTTCTTGGTGTAAGTATATATCAATGTGTAATATAATAATAATCTTTGACGCACAGAATGATATTTTGTGATAGAAAATGTTTTGCTGTGATTATTGGACATGGCTTAAAATCGGCTTCGATCTGCTTTGCGCGAATTTTATTTATTGAAATGCAACAAAAAAATAGCAATTATCACTATATGATATAGTATTGTTATATAATTTAATATCTATTTTATATATTTATATCAAATTTTAAATCATGAATGATTTATCTTGATAGATAATATCAAATTATATTAAAAATTAAACATGATTGTAGCAGGAATTATAATATATTCTTTAATTTAAATTTTTATATTTAAGTTATTTAAATTCTTATAGTTTATTTTCTTACTATAAACTATTGTTTAATGTAGCTTTATATAATATAGATATTTTAATGCATTATATGCATGCTTTGTGTATAATTAGGCATTCTTATTTTTTTGTTCAATATTCTTCGCAACCAAAAAGAGCAGAATCGGTTTATTTCTATTAAAGTTTTAATAGATTTTATATTGATACAATCAGTAAAATTACTTTTCTGTATACTATATGTTTTATTCTTTCTGCATCGATCTAGGATATTTCATTTAGGATATCGATCGGATATCTAGAATTAGGATATCTAGAAGCATCATGGTTTTCACATCACAAATACATGCGAACACAAAACATAAACTATAAATTATCGCACCATACAATCGCATTTTTTCCCTGTTTCTCTCTTTTCTTTTTTCACTATTTTCCAATACGAGAGACACGCACTTGAATTACGTCAATACAATGCGAAAGCACTGCTGCTAAACGCAACCATACATAGATGACCCAATTCGTTAGTTTTTTTTTTTTTTTTTTTTTAACGATCCGTAGTCGCATAGTGTTTTCCAGTTATGATTTCTATTTGCAGGCAATTTTTGCTAGTAGCATACCCGAGATAATAGACCTCGTAGGCAGTAGGTCCAAGTACAGCGGCGAATACAAGCGGGAGCATGGAAAGAGGTATTACTATCAAATTACATCCTATACAATCCTCTATCTCTTGTCTATTAATTTTACTTTCCTTTCAGTATGTATATGTATATACTTACTCGTAAGAATTAATGAGAACGTACATACACAATGCGGTGCGCGCAACATACACGCATTTGTACACGCAGACATGTACACACATACGATGCGCAATTTGCACGCGTGCACTCGCACACATGTCGCGATATATAACGTCCATCATCGTTCAATCATTATACGATGTTCTACATTAAGGTAGAACGTCAAGAGCTCAAGGACCGGTGATGAATGCATGAAAATTTACAGCAGTCGGAAGTACACATGGTCGACTCGTGTAACGACCGCGTGGTGTGGTACATATAATCGTCGCTGGCGTTCCCTTTCGTTTCCCAATGAATCACAAACGGTTCTCCGCGGTGAAAGGTCCAATAAAGCGAGATGGAAAGAGTTTCACGATCGACATGGGACGAGCGTACAAAAAAAAGTGGAAATGCTCGGAATCGGAATATCCCGATATCCAGCTATTGCCTTTTCATTCATATAACGAACACTCGATCAATCTAACGACTTAGTATGTTTTTGCGCGACAAGAAGCATAATTAAAATATGTAGATTCGGAATTATACAGATGAGTTTTTTATTTATTTTTTATTTAAAGATTTGATATAAAATAACGAACGGCGATAACATGTATTTTAATTTTGAAGAAAACAATAGATATTAACACAGTTAAACAAAATATTTTTTTAATTTTAAAAATTACATTAAATATTTAAGCTAATCAAATTAAATATCTTAGACTTATTAAGCTGAAAAAATAAAAGATACTATGGATTCTGTATTTTCTTTAGTTGATTCAGTTTCTTTGATATAAAAGTAATCATCATAAAATAAGAAAATTAAGTTTATTATAATCGTAATATTAAATGAGGCCATTTGCAGCCAGGTAAATGTTGAGCCATCTGGGACAATTCAAGAAGTGGATATTTTCTAATATTAGTCTAACTATATAATCATCCCGAATTAAAGCCGATAAAGTAGAGCAGGCATAAATCGACACACTTTTCGCGCATAGTCATTAACAAGCGCCAATTATTATCTTGTGCCTCGTTTGCCCATTTTATATTCTTTCAAAATTAATATTTGAGTGCATTTGTTAAAAAGTCTTTCAATGATTAATTTTTACTCTAAATCAGTGTTTTAGTTTTCAAAACTTTGAGAGATTTTATATTATAATTTTAAATCATACTTTTACGCAAGAATATAAATGAATTAAGTACAATTTTATTTTTAGTTTATACAATTTGATTTTTTTACACACAATCTTTGAAAAAAATTCACGAATCTTTTAATATCTTTAAATCGTTGTATGTCTGTTCTGATAAATACAATGACCTTTCACCGTGTGATGCCAAGCCAATAAAAAATGTGTCTGATGGTGAAGATTGCGTGTAAATCCAAAATGATGAAACAAGCAGCTGTGTTTAGTAAGTTTGTCTTATGCATGTGTACTTTGTATTATCGATCGAAGTGTTTTTTTTATCGTATACCAATTATATCGCTCTCTATTTCTACAGCACGAAGCAACAAGCATCCGCATAAACACATATATAATACATAAAATAAGATTATAGATTATAAGATGATACAAGCGGAAGTAACTTGATGGAATTTGTTATGTATTTTTCAAATTTAAAAATTTCTAAAAGCTTTATAAAATTTTCAGAGATTTTGATAGAGTGATTAGTTAAAACTGATTTGAAAATTTCATATCAATGACTATTTTAATTAAATATTTATCAACTCCATCAGGTTTTCTCGCCATTAAAATTAAATATTATTTATTTAAAGCACATTTTTTCAACAAATCACATAATTTGCCACTTTAGTCTGCTACCTTTAATGTATAAACACATACAGGATTACAATACTACTTATATTATACTGCACCATATTAGGATGAAATTAGTGGAACTTGATACACATATTTTAACTTTTGAATTTTTTATTATCAAATATATGTATAATTAATATTAACATATATCCGTAAAAACTAAATCACGTAAAATGGTTGCAATAGATTTAGTAATTCAGTACATATATATAAATTATTTAAAATATAATTTAATTTAATTAAACATAAATCGTTTTGCATGATTTGATTATATACTTTACACCAATGATACATTATATAATACGTTCACTCATACACACATACGCATACTTAATCATATTATTGCAGAATGCAAGCAATCGCGAAGCACACTACAGAAATCCTAATTTTTATTTATCTCCTCGACTCTCCTGAAAAATAAGAAATATTATAATTCTCTAGTTTATAGTAACAATATTGTTTGGCTTCCACATTTCAATAGATAATGCCATGTTTGAAACGATGTTGATTATTCGAAATTGACAGGTATTATACGTTATAATAGTGCCTGCATGCTATAATTGATTTTTACGACACTTCGTGCAAGATGATGGTATTTTTCCGTCTTTAATAATAAAAGATACGCGTAATAATCCAAGTTAATTAACATCATTTAACAGTGGCTAAATCAAGAATTATCGCATTGCGATGCAAACAGCGCGTTCATTATAACGAGGAAACTAACGGCACTGTGTTTATGGAATGATTGACTCATTTCGCAAGATTATAGAAATGAATTGTTGCTCTTGACCTTATTAAACACTTGACTTACTTATAACATATGATGCGCGACGCTAATCTAAGAATACGCACAATTTATATCGTAGTTAACATGTAGTTTTATCATTCAATATGATTTGACATTTCACCAATGCTAACGCATATTTTGCTCTACGCGATTATATGTTCGATGCTATTAATTTATTAGTTTCATGCGTAGGAAATGCTCTTTATAGGCGATTCTATTTTTCGTCTTATTTGCTTGAACGAGATCATCATGAGTTTTGAATGCAGCACTAGTTAAAAATAAATATGTCGCAACAGATAAAGATACGCGCGCGTGCGTCTTATTTCAGCAGACGTTTTACAGATTAAGTTATATTTTCCTTAACAAGAATTAAAATAATTTCAAGAAAATTTGAGTATATATGAGACTCGAAAATTAAGACAATTCTCTATTGCATTTATATTACTTATTTTATTAAAGTTTTATTATACATCATAAAACAAGTTTTTATCGTATTCACATTTGACAGTTCATCGCGATAGATATAGATATTTCGCGTTGCGCTTTAAAATCATTCACTGAAAAAATAGAAAAGGAATATTTAATATAAATTATCGTAAAATATAAAAAATCTTATATATTTTTAAAGTATAATCGTGCCAGTTTTTGAGAAGTTGACTATTTTGAGGATTGATAAAAAAATGTAGTTGTAACATTAGAAAAGATTTCGAAAATTGATAATTGATAAAAAAAATTATTTATCTGTTTTTTTTAATATATGTATATGTTGAATTCGCACGAGATTAATATAATAAAATAAAGATAAAAAACGATTTATTTTAAAAAGTTCAAACCGTATTTTGTTAAATTTACATGGAATCTCATAAAACACGTTTTGGACAATTTAAAAGCAATTGAAAATGAAAATGTATTATAACGTATTTGGTGGAAAGCTTTCAAAACTTATAATGCTTTTTAGAGTTTAGTCTTCTCTCTTCCTCTTTTTTATTTTTAAGAAATATTGACTTTTGTAATTTCGAATTTGACTAGAATATGCATACATGCAGATATTTTATAAAACGCTAAATGTTATAATACAATTTTACCTATAGAATAACTTTGATATACAAGAGAAATATTACTTTCTTTTAAAGCGGATTTGCGCGGTGATCATCTCGAATAAAATACGTTTAATATTTTACATATATTAAAAATAATTTTACGGTGGCATTGAGTAATCTCGTCTTCTATCAAAAAATATATATAGGATTTACGATCATAATTTATTTCGTATTAAAAAGCATTCGCATCATTGTTGTTGAAATAATTTACACATTAATTCAACTACGTAAATCAATTTCAACAAAACATCGCATTATTATTTTAAATTGTGCCTCAGTCCGAATGAGGTGTATACCTGTCATCTTTTTTTTTTTTACAATTTATGGCGTTCTATCGCTTGTAACGAGCGATCAAGACGTAGCAAAACCAGAACACAAGCGAAAGCACAAAAAGAAAGAAAGAAAAAGAAAGAAAAATAAAAGAGATTCAGATTAGGGGTCTGTTCTGACGGCAACGGATGATTGTGGGTGTGTAGGCGGTGTTCGCCAGCTGGATCCCAGAGATCACGGAGCTCGCCGCGAATCGCTGCAAGTACGGTGGCCAGTACAGCCGCGAGCGTGGACGCAGGTACCCCAGAAATCCACCTACGTGGAAGCCAGCCATAAAACAACCCCTTGAAATTAGCCCCCTTCCACCGTGTTGTCCCAGTAGTCACATAGATACGAGAAGTAGCGAAATCGCCCTGGATAGCGAGTGGTCTCATCCTCGTGCGACGTCCGTCATCATTTCCTCGACATCATCTCGCAGGCTCGTTGATCACACAATTGACCTTTCGACGAGAGATAACGGCAGAATTCTCGCTCTTGCAATCAGTACAGCGCTTTAATTAAGAGAAATGACGGGACTGCGATCGCAGAATAAATCTTCATTGCCCGGGGGACGTCGCGGGTGATTAACGTGTTTTTGCGCATTTTGTATTTTTGTCACCGAATTAGCAGAAAAGTTTGACGCAGCGGGAGAAGATTGGCGAGAAAAGTTAGATAAACACGACAAGTAACAAAGTATTTTAATGATTGCGCGCGCCCTCGCAACCTAGTTCACCAACTCAACTTTTCGGCCGTGAGTTTCGAGCTTCGAGCGACGAACACGAATTGTCACAATATTTTATTTATCGCGTGAAAGTATTTATCGCGGAAACGAAGTAAGAACAGACGTTGCCGCGCGTGGCTCTCATCTTTCCGATAAAAGGAATCATTGTATCTCATCGAT